AAGATGCTGTGTGTTGTTCTTCCCTCCTATAATCAGCCTAGCGAATTTAATTTTTATTTTAAAAGTTAATGTTATGAGCAGAAGAAATAATGCTAATTCTTCATTATAAATATAAAAATTTCAAATGTTTCTAAATTACATATGTAGAAAGTGACAACCTACTCTTAACTGGTTCCCTAGATCACTATTGTATTTGTGTTATACATTCTCATTGATCTTGAGTTTTGTTCAGAACTTAAAACCACAAATTGCTCATTGCTTTTTAGGAGTGTGCAGATATAGTCATGATGATACCACTGTTTTTACTACCCTAAAATTTGTGTACTGATAATCGTACTTTATAGAGTTTTACTGTATTTTTTAGTAATGCATAAGATGTGTTATATGACACGTGGCTTGATAAACAGTTTTGATTGACTTGTTCCTCCCAGGATTTTTTAGCTTGAGCAGGGAGGGCATAGTCTCCAGTGCCCTGAGTATTACTGTCACAAAGCCATTCTTTTCCCTCAGTAAAGGGCAAAGGCATAGAGTATATTGGGCTTCCCAGGTGGTTCAGTGGTAAAGAATCTGCCTGTCAAGCAGGAGACTCAGATTTGATCCCTGCGTTGGGAAGATCCCCTGGAGGAGGAAATGGCAACCCACTCCTGTATTCTTGCCTAGAGTATCCCATGGACAGGGGAGCCTGGCAGGCTATAGTCCATGTGGTCCAAAAGAGTTGGACATACAGCAACGAAATAGCAGCAGCATTGCCTTTGGATATAATGTAATTTGTGTAATTTAAACATACTTCAAAATGTTTTAAGTAATAAAAATGAAACTTTGAATGTGTAATATGACTTAGATGAGTGAGGGCATAAAATGAAATGTGAAATGTAGTCATTTGCTTAATAATGTGTTGGAAAGCCTGTCTCTAAAAAGTCATATATCCTAAATTGAGTTTATTCAAGAATATTTAAGTTCCTGCCCTGAATCAAGCCTGTGCTCTGACAAGCCTACTTTCTGGCAGGGAATTAGATTTGAAATAGTGAGTTACGTTATTACTTTAACAGGGATTTTGTGAGGGGCACTGAACAAATGCTGTAAGGATGTGAAGTCATCTGTGGACTTTAAGATGATTCTCTTGAGGAAATGATATTTCAAATGAGCTATGTCAAGATTATGTGTGTGATTGTGTGTGCTTAGTCGACTTTTTGCAACCCCAAAGACTGTAGCCCACCAGGCTTCTCTCTCCAGGATTTCCCAGGCAAAAATACTGCAGTGGATTGCCATTTCCTTCTCTCGGGGATCTTCCCGACCTAGGAATTGAACCTGCATTAGCAGGCAGATTTTTTTTTTTTTAACTGATGAGCCACAAGGGAAGCCCAAATGCTCCATAAAATCACTGAAGGCTCTTTCCCACTTTTTGATTGGGTTGTTTGTTTTTCTGGCATTGAGTTGTATGAACTGCTTATATATCTTGGAAGTTAATCCTTTGTTAGTTGTTTCATTCTATTATTTTCTCCCATTCTGAGGGTTGTCTTTTCACCTTGCTCATAGTTTCCTTTGCTGTGCAAAAGCTTTTACATTTAATCAGGTCCCACTTGTTTATTTTCCTTTTTATTTCCGTTACCTTAGGAGGTGGGTCATAGAGGATCTTGCTTTGATTTACATCATCGACTGTTCTGCCTATGTTTTCCTCTAAGAATTTTATAATTTCTGGTCTTACATTTAGGTCTTTAATCCATTTTGAGTTTACTTTTGTGTATGGTATTAGGAAGTGTTCTAATTTCATTCTTTTACATGTAGCTGTCCAGTTTTCCCAGCACCATTTATTGAAGAGGCTATCTTTGCTGCATTGTATATTCTTGCCTCCTTTGTCAAAAATAAGGTACCCATAGGTGCATGGGTTTATTTCTGAGCTTATCTTGTTCGATTGGTCTGTATTTCTGATTTTGTGCCAGTACCATACTGTCTTGATGACTGTAGCTTTGTGATATAATCTGAAGTCAGGAAGGTGATTCCTCTAGCTCCATTCTTCTTTCTCAGGACTGCTGTGGCTATTCGAGGTCTTTTGTGTTTCCATATGAATTGTGAAATTTTTTATTCTAGTTCTGTGAAAAATGCCATTGGTAGTTTGATAGGGATTGAATTGAATCTGTAGATTGCATTTGGTAGTATAGTCATTTTCCCAGTCAAAAAGTAGGAAAAAGACTTAAACAGACATTTCTCCAAAGAAGACATACAGATGGCTAAAAAACACATGAAAAGATGCTCAAACATTGCTCATTATTAGAGAAATGCAAATCAAAACTACAATGAGATATCACCTCATGCCAGTCAGAATGGCCATCATCAAAAAGTCTACAAACAATAAATGCTGGAGAGGGTGTGGAGAAAAGGGAACGCTCTTGCACTGTTGATGGGAATGTAAATTGAGAAAACCACTATGGAAGACGGTATGGAGATTCCTTAAAAAAACTAGGAATAAAACCACCATATGACCCAGCAATCCCACTCCTAGGCACATACCCTTAGGAAACCAAAATTGAAAAAGACACATGTTTCCCATTGTTTATTGCAGCACTATTTACAAAGCTAGAACATGGAAGCAACCTAGATGTCCACTGACAGATGAATGGATAAAGAAGTTGTGGTATATATACACAATGGAATATTATTGAGCCATAAAAAGGAATGCATTTGAGTCAGTTCTGATGAGGTGGATGAACCTAGAACCTATTATAGAGTGAAGTGAGTCAGAAAGAGAAAGGTAAATATCGTATTCTGACACATATATATGCAATCTAGAAAAATGGTACTGAAGAATTTATTTACAGGCCAGCAATGGAGAAACAGACATAGAGAATAGACTTATGGACATAGGGAGAGGGGAGGAGAGGGTGAGATGTATGGAAAGAGTAACATGGAAACTTACATTACCGTATGTAAAATAGATAGCCAATGGGAATTTGCTGTATGGCTCAGGAAACTCAAAAAGGGACTCTGTATCAACCTAGAGGGGTGGGATGGGGAGGGAGATGGGAGGGAGGTTCAAAAGGGGGGGGAACATATGTATACCTATGGCTGATTCATGCTGAAGTTTGACAGAAAACAGCAAAATTCTGTAAAGCAATTATCCTTCAATAAAAAAATAAATTAGAAAAAAATCCATTGAAGACTATTTCAATATAGTTTTGGCCACTGGCTAGTTTCACAGCCTTTAGTATTATAGGACGAATAAGCTTTGGTTTTCCTTGTTGTTTTGAATTTTCCTTTAAAGTTTTTATTAGTGACATTTCAAATATATAAAACAAAGAGTAGTGTAATAAATTCAATATACTCATCACCCACTTTTTTTTGAGGTTCATATATGGTGCTTTTATTTGCCAGTATAGTTTAACCACACACATATATGTAATATATACATATATATAGGTAAAAGTGAAACAAAACTTTGTCAGAATTATCCACCTTGAGTATTAATTCTTTTTTAAGACTTTTTTTTTCAAACCAAGGATGAACTGCGCTGATGCATGTAATCACCCCAGTTCATGTTAGAGTTCACTTTAATGAAGTGTGACTACACCTTTTTTTAAAAATACACCTACTTTTAATAATTGTGAAGATAATTACTAAATTTGTTTCACTTATATCTCCACCCATTCCTCCATCCCCTGGATTATTTTAAAGCAAATTCCAGGTGACATATTTCATCTGTAAATATCTCAATGTGTATTTCTATAAGATAAGAAAAATTACCAAAGACAAATCTCAAAGATGTTGATGTCTCAGTATTATCAAGCATTTGTGTTATATCAGTATTTTCATTTCCTGATTTTCTTATAAACTAAAAAAAAAATTATTTTTACTTTGTTTTAATCAGAATCCAACTAAGATCTGTATCTTTGTAATTAATTGCTGTATCTTTTAGGTCTTTAATGTGGTTCTTTTCCATATCTTCTTTAAAAGTTTTATTTTTCCAACTCCAGAATGTTTATTTCTAGTTTCCCACAGTCTACATTTTTGCTGATTGTGTTTCTGTTGTAATGTTTAATTTAACATGTTTCTTTGTCCTTTATATTTTTCTGCAAATTGTTGATTACATCTAAAACATTGGTTTTCAACGTGCTGGGTGGTGTTGGCGTCTAGTGGGTAGAGGTCAGTGATGTTGCTAAATATGATACAATGCATAGGAGGGCCCCCACAGCAGAGTTACCCAGCTTCAAATGTCACTGTTGAGTGCGGAGGTTTGGAAACTCTGATCTAGAGACTTGGTCAGATTCAGTTTCAATTATTTTTCATCCAGTCTCTTTCTTTCTGTGATATTTAGGGACTGTTGATTATTGCTTAGGTCCATCAATGTGTTGAGAGTTTACAAAAGGGTACTATTCTATCATGGGTTCCCTTTTTTTCTTTTTTTTTTCCATTTATTTTTATTAGTTGGAGGCTAATTACATTACATCATTGCAGTGGTTTTTGTCATACATTGAAATGAATTAGCCATGGATTTACATGTATTCCCCATCCCGGTCCCCCCTCCCACCTCCCTCTCCCCCCGATCCCTCTGGGTCTTCCCAGTGCACCAGGCCCGAGCACTTGTCTCATGCACCCAACCTGGGCTGGTGATCTGTTTCACCCTAGATAATATACATGTTTCGATGCTGTTCTCCCCTGGTGGTTCAGTGGTAAAGAATCCACCCACCAGAGCTGGAGACACAGGTTCAGTCCCTGAGTCAGCAAGACTCCCTGGAGAAGGAAATGGCAACCCATTCCAGTATGCTTACCTGAAAAATTCTATGGACAGAGGAGCCTGGTGGGCTATAATCCACTGAGTCACAAGAGTTGGACACAACTTAGCGACTACACCACCACCAACCAATATTCTATCATTCCTTCTTTCTTTATTATCTGGAATACCACTATAGAGAAACTTCCCTTCATCAGTTATTTGGTTACCCTGAGCTATAGTTCATACTGTAAAGGCAGGTTACCAGCTGATGATATTTTATATTTTATTCCAGGTTGATCTCCTATCAAGAGTTTTTGGCATTTGAATCTGTATTATGTGCTCCAGATTCCATGTTCATAGTGGCTTTCCAATTATTTGACAAGAGTGGAAATGGAGAGGTGACATTTGGTAAGGAAAAAAAAAGATTATATAGTTAAGTGAAGTTAGTGAGGCTGGTTCAGTCTTTAATTGCTAAATTTAGTAACTGTATACAGATTGCTGCTTATTTAAGAGCTAGTCAGAAAATGAAGTTTTAATTTCCTAAAAGAATTTATGTAGATAAAATTAAAATGGTTTTATTTTCTTTAAAGCATTAGATTATTGCAAAAAAAAAATTAAGGAACATAGGAATGTTGTTGCTTCAACTCATTGCCTCTCTGACACTTTCACATTCCTAAAGCTGGTAGTATAAAATTACCTTGTTCTGGGCCAGCCTGGGATAGATTTTTTCTGAAACAGACTGAACAACATGGAGTAATCATCTCATTCTTTAAGGGGTTTCAGGGTAGAGAATTCAGAGCTTCTCTGGAGCCTCTTTGGAAAATTGCTACTGTGTCATTTTAATGCCCAAGAATGGAACTGAAGGAAGTAAGGAATAGTAGCATTCTCTGAAGCCCCATTTAAAATTTTTGATTTTAGAAAAGAAGGCTAGAATATTAAAGTTGCCTTCTGAATTGGGTGTAGAAATCCATTTAAATCATTTGGTAGGCACATCATTGAGCACACTGTGGATGTCTCAAAAGTGTACAAACTAGGATTTCTGTATATAGCTGTATATTAGTTTTTTAAAAGAGGCTTACTTCCAGAAATTAGTATGTGTTTAGTAAAAGTATCAGCTAATTTTTCCTGCAATACGCTTTTCAATAAAAAGTTGTGTTTTCAAGGATCTAGAGCACTCCTCCCTTTTTTTAATATTTGAATTTTTTTTCATTGTGGTAAACAGTACCTAACACTAGCCTTAGCATCTTAACCATTTGTAAGCATACAGTTCAGTAGTGTTGAGTATATTCACATTGTCATGAAACACATCTCCAGAACTTTTTCATCTTGTAAAACTGAACTTGAGCCCTTTTAGTGGTGTGCACTGTGAATTGGCATCAGTTTGTGGTAGAGAGACTCCTGAAAATCCAGCTTCCCCTGAGCCATGATGCTAAATATTTATTCACTGTAGTGTTTGTTAGAAAACAAATATCCTCTTGTTAAACCCAAAGGGAGAAGTGTCACTGCTGTGGTAAGAATGATGAGAAAGTGCAGGCATTGGAAAGGACTAGTGTTGCTTTTGCTGTCATCTTCTTGGGCATATGTTCTAGCATGGCATTAATTGATTTCTTCTGCCCACTGACCCATTGTCTTCTGTGTAAGAACATTTTCCTAAATAAATAGCTACGCAGGGCTCTTTAGGTTTCTGTGTTTATCTCGGCATTCTCTCTTTGGAGCAAGCCCTGGCCTTTTCTGCCTCCTAAAGAATGTTGACTTTCCTCAGAAAAGCCTCGATTTTATAGTTTAAAACGTAAAGGCTTATCATCTCATCATTCAGCATTAACTTTGTACTTCTAAGAATGCTGCATTTTCTATATTCAATAGTTACCACACATGTTCGTATGCCTTACTTCTAAAAATGCTGCACAAATGCTTGGGAGATAACTTGATATAAATATCTGTATTAGTGACAGTATACCCATACTTCTATCATGTGTCCTTGATTAAAAATTAGATTTCCCGAAGCCAAATTCTAACTTACTCTGCCCCTTTTACCTTGGTTTTATGATTCTTTGATTGCTTTTTCCAATTTCTATTTTAAAAAATAAGTCACTTGTCAGTTTATTCAACAGACTAACAATAGAGATTCATGCCATTGTTGATTAGTGGATTAAAATGTGTAGGAAGTAGCTGAATGGTTTATACACACCATATTATTTCATGCAAATGAAAGCTTATAGTTACTAGACTCCAGCTTTAGCATTTTATAGATCTTTTGTTTTTCCCCTCATACTGATTTATGAGTTAAGACCTCAAGAAAATACAAATAGAATTAAAAGCAAAATGAATCAGGTTTTATAGCACCTGGTGTAAACAGAACATGGAATTCCTCCAGAATCCTTCATTCTACTGCTCCATATTAGAGTTGGGAAAATTCTTACAGAATAAGATGAATTTGAACTCCCTTTTGATGTTGTTCCTGTGATCCCTGGCCAATTGGATGGTTCTCTTGATGGTGTTCACCTAAATCCTGGGGACCTGGACCATTCCCTTCCCTAATGTTGAGGATTCATTTTTAGACAAACCTTCTTAACTATAATGAATCATAATGAAGGAGAGAAAAAAAGCAATGAAACTGTTACAAATTCCATTTAACAAGAATTCTAAGGCCCACTCATTTCAGGCTGTATTCGACTACAGAATTTCAGCATAAGGAAATAATTAACCTGGAGTTAATTTTAATAGAATTTTGGATCTGTGATAAAGGTCAGTTTTAATGTTTGTACTCACTTGATAAAAAGAGTTATGCTTATATCTTTATAGATGTATGTTTAGGTAGAAGGAAAATTTAGATCCATTCTAACTCAATCCTTTTCACCTGATGGACTTATGTTTTCTAGTTTAGAGCTTATTTAAAGTATAGTTTTTTCTTGTGCATATCAGGGGAGAAAGCCAGGAGAGAATATTGGGTGCAAAATAAAATGGAATAGGGAAAGACTATTATGGCATCAGTATTATCTCTATCTCATGGACTCTGATGATTTATGTGTACGTCTATATATATTGTTCTCATCTTTGCTTTTGTTTTTTAGATGTGGCTTTTATACACATCAAATTGTGTACTTAAATTGTGTACCTCTTTGCAAGTATTTATATATGTAGCAGTATTGAATAGCATTTACTTGAATGCTGGACAAGCTTTTTTTTAAAGATGCCTTTGCTGTAGGGGAGAGGACTTAGATCAAGACATTGATAATCCGTTTCAGAATGTATAAGCTCAGGAGAGGGTTCTGAAGTTTTTAAAAGAATGAATAGCATGATTAGTTGTTTCTTCTTTGGTGTTCTTTTAGTGAAACTTCTAATGCATGCTGTGGATGATTACTTAATGGCTTGTATATCTGTTTCTGCCTGGTGGCATGAGCCTTCTACGGGCCATTGCATGACTGGTGTGTGCTAGATATAGTGTAAACTTGCCTTGCTTTCACTATCATCCACTAGTGTACTGGGTGTTCTGCTCAATAGAATTGGATTGAGGTAACCAAGATAACCAGCTATTCTACACTGCGTTGTCAATAGTTGCCATACCTTTGTCCTAAGTTAAAAAAAAAAAAAAAGAAACCTGTTGCTTTAACAAGGATTCCAAAAAACCCAACAATACTCTTACCTATTAACTAATAAATAAATATAAAACATGTTATGTATTCTAAATTTCCTATTAAAAAGCTCATCAATATTGTGTTCTAAAAGTGTTTGCCTAGAAATGGGAACTGTTATATGGAAACTTTTCCAGGGGCATATCTTTATCCCCTGACTGTAAAACTCTCAAGAAATAGGGTTTGCTTTTAATTTTATGCTGTTTGACCACCAATGTGTATAGCAAATAAATACGTGTTCCATTTGTGCCTCTAAAATACTCTTTTTCCATAAAGGGAATAATAATCAGATTGGAGTGTTTTAGGTATGACTGCTGCTATGGTTAAAAGGTTTAGGAGATGGAAGTCTAGATATGAAAAATGTCATATCCTCTGTCAGTGGAAACAAAGCTATAGACATGGTATAATATGAAATTCTAATGGCAATAAATACCTAGTTTAACTTGGTAAGAATGAGAGCTTCACTTGGGTGTTCAAATTAAATCAGTAAGAATTTTCGAGACTCAGATATTACAGAGAAGGTCACATTAATACTCAAGACTGCTAGAGTAGCTTTAGAGTTTGAGGTAAAAAAAGGGCATGGTATCACTTGCTTTTATGCCATTTGGTGGTAGATTTTTGAAGCATCTACCTTCTATAGTAATAGATGCTCTTTAAATGTAAACTCATTTTTCCTGAGAAATGGACCTTTACGTATATTTGGCAGCAGGACTACTGTGTGGACTGATTGTACAGTAGTCCCTTTTGGAGGTAGGTAAAGGGGTTAATAGAAATACTTTTCCCTCAGTAAAACAGAGGAGGTCACCCAGAAATTAAGCCACCTGAAGTAGGACTTAGAAGTCTGGCTTGACATGCTGTGTTGGCTGGGACTTCTACAAGCTCCTGTTGTTGATCTTTTTATTGCTGTTGTTTGTTTTCCCTTGTTTTCTTTTTCACTCTTAGTTGTTCCTCTTTCCCCTCAAGTTTTCTTTCTCTGAGAAGCTCTTCCACAAGTCTTGCCATTGTTTTCGTTCAGTTATACACAAGGATGTTCATTGCTCATGGTGGGAGTCCTTTTAAAAGCCTCTCTGACTTCACTTTAAGAACTGTGCAGGTGAAACTCAGCTGCTGAGGACTCTCTTTTTTCCCCTCTCACAATAAAAATGTTTGCTCTCAAGCCTGTAAGCTGGAAGCAGCGGCTCCTGCGGGGCTGGAACCTTGGACTCAGGGTGTCGCTGGGCTGATGGCAGGTGGGCTGTGTCACAGGGCTGATGGCTTGTATACCTACAGGAGGAGTTCTCTGGCCACACCGTTGGTACAGCAGCTCCTTCCAGGCTCATTCATGGAGCAGGCATGGTGGCAGTCTTGGAGAAGAGTGCCAGCCCCGGTCAGAGGTAATTTTGTACTGCAGAAAGGTGAACAAGACCAGTAGGAAGCGCCCATGAGGACCAGGGGAGGGATGAGGGTGGATGAGATGGGGAGACACAGTGTGGGCTGCTGGGGAAGGTAAAACCTCTGTTAAGACATATTTTCATAATATATATGCTTCAGTGTATTTCATTTAGTCCAGTCATCATAAGTGACTGATACAGCTAAACTGACTAATGTTATAGGTCTGTGAACATTTTTACTTAATCACAGTTGTCACCATTTACCTGCCCTCCTGACAGATCATTGTGCTCCTCTCCTTTAAGCAAAGAGAACATGACAGGCTACTTTTGTATCTGACCCCATTTCCCTTTTCAAAGGAATTATAAACCATCTCTTTTATAAGCCCATGCTCCGCAGGAAGTGAAAAAGTGGTCTTTTGTTTTCTGTATGTCAGAAAACAAATGGATTCCTATTTCCCTTAGCAATGCCAACCTGATATAAAACACTCAGTCAGGATCCTGTTGCCAATAAGATGTAACTCTCATCACTTTCATCCAAGCCAGAACTGTGGCCACTGAAATAGCACTGCTTAGGGAGCTAAAGACCTTTGTTTGCCACTGGAAAGACGGGATTCTCTCTGGGGAGAAACTTACTATGTAGCTTCAGTTGGATACATTGGGTGTTTTTGAGATTATTGGTGCCCCCTTTCATGTCATACAGAGCCTGATAAAACTGGATAAGAGGAGATCATTAGCGCTTCGGGCTATTCCCTCAGTATTAAGCTCTCCAGTTCTGGAGCTTTTGTACAACCTTTTTTTTTTTTGGATAAGCATATCCTGGTAAAAGTAAACTGGTAATTATGAATTTGACTTTAAAGCAGTAGTTGTACTAATTATTTCTCTAAGCTTCCTGATTTAGCCTTAGGGAGTTGGTAGTGGAAACAATAACAGAAAGGAAGTGGGATACATCAAGAGATGCCAGAGTAGGTTTGAAAGTCTGCAACCTGTGACATGGCTAAAATAATTAAAAGTGTCTGCGGGTACTTAATAAACCATAGCACACAATAATGGTCATAATAAAACCATGTACAAAACTGTCAGCTGACCACTTTGGGAGAAGTGGGAAATGTTTAAACAAATATTCATGGAAAATGACATTTCTATATTTGGAGAAATTAATATGAGTAATTTAAACCATCACTTTAATTGTTTCAAAGGTATTGTAAGATCTTATTTAAAGGTTGCTAAGAAGTTTACTAAATAGGATTTTAGTTAAAAGTTTTTATTATAGTGCTATTTTTTTCTGAATGTAAATTACACATTGTAATTTTGGTTTATACATGTCCTTTTTGTGATAGAAAAAGCAATTTTTATGGTTCATTAAATTTTCATAAGTTTGAAAGATTTTGAGTCTGGTTTTACTTGATATAGTTTCACATGAGATTCTGGTATTTTCCAATCATACAAAGGGAATTCAGTTTTATTCTGCTATTGTATAAAACTTACTTAGGTAGCAGTAAGTATATTTCTTATCAAGCAGTTGAGTTTGGAGAGTTGTGACCTTTAAATAAAGGTTATAAAATAACTTATTCCCTTTAATAATTTATCTTATGTAATTAAGTTATCCTAATATGCTTTCCATCAATTTCTTCATATTCCCTTAGTTTAATACTTAAAATAAGAAACCAAATTAATTTGGAAAGAGAAGCAGGTAGGAGGATCCTAAAAAAAAAATCTTTGCTAAATTGCCATAGTATTTTTAGCTCAAAAGAGTTTTCTGCCATCCTTGTTATTTTAATAATTTCATAAACTAACATATTTTACAACTTGTTGAAGTCTCACGTAGAGTTGAGGGTAATCCTCTGTGTTGCTTAGGATCCCATAACTTGCTACTGCATTAATTCTTTGCTTTCAGAGACTAAAGCTCATATCTTTGATTTGTGTTTATGGAAGATGAAAATAATTGACATGATTTGAAAACTCTGAAATACTGTTGCTATCTAGGCCAGAAATAGATGCTACATTCCATTTGAAAGAAAAGATGAGAATCCCATCTCCCCAGTGACATCCAATGCCGCCTTCCAACTGACCGATCGCTGTGACCTATTCAGAGCTGTCGTGTTGAGTCCAAACTGGTAGGATTTCCAGTTAAGGATTCTTACACTTCTCCCACTTCCCCACCATAGCAATGCTTTTATAAAAAAAAAAAAGTATTATTAAATCTAAAGGGAATCCATTAAACCATTTACAATGTGAGATTTATATCTGTTTAGAGAATTTTCAGAAATTAGATAAAATAGCATAGTTGGAGATTATAAAACATTAAGCTTATACTTACTAATTCTTAATATAATTGATAGCTATAGATAGTAAAACCCTTTCACTAATATAATTGGCTTAAATTTGAAAATAATTTTGTTCTTAAGACATCAGTAAAAAAGGCTTCCTGCTTTCTTAACTTTGTTAATGATTTTTTTTTTTTTTTGGCATGAGCTTCTAAATTAGTCTATCCAGTCTATGCTTGTTAAAGTACCAGTCATTTGTGAATTGACTTTTCTAGTAAGTGTAGAACTGTGTAAGAAGGTGAATGCCATTGTCAGTGCATGAAGACAAGCTGTCAGAGGGTTTTGGTTGTATATTACATGGTGTGACTGGTTCCTATCTAAAAGTTAGTATACTGTGTTTAGTCCTTCTTTATTTAAAAGTGAATCACTAATTTCACTTATCTTAAAATATTTTAATAGCTGAGACTAATAATCATGGTTTTACGGGGATTTTGAAGCTTTGTGTCAAGACCATATTTTTGACAATATCAGAAGCTTTTAATAAGGTGCTTGCTGCTGAGCTAATGATATGCTTTGGGTAGTATTTCTTATACCTATCTTCAATAGATATATTCAGGCTAGTGTGAATGTAATAATCAAGCCTCAATCAAGCCATACTTAGTATGACAAATATTGCATTATACCGTAATTTAGGTATTCATGCTTCTGATAAAGGGCTTAATTCGACTCCTTGAGGAACCGGGAAAACACTATTGATTTTATACTGGAATGCAAAGTAGCAACCATTTATAGTGCAAGATATAAATCACTTCCTAATTAAAATTAAATCAAGAGAAATTAAGAATCTCATGGCCTTATATGTAATGGTACACAATCTTAACTGTAAAATTATATTTTGTATCAATTGTGTTCCTGTGCATGGGTTTCTGGGCACAAAAAATTTTGCAGCTAATCTTAATAGAAGCAGATAATATTGACTTTTAAAATTTCTCTTAATTTCTTTCTGTAGGAACATTGCAGTGGACTAAACTACTTATTCCAGATATAATTTATTTATTTTTATTTTCCTTTTCAAGAAAATGTCAAAGAAATTTTTGGACAGACTACTATTCATCATCATATCCCTTTTAATTGGGACTGTGAATTTATCCGGCTACACTTTGGGCATAATCGGAAGAAGCACCTTAACTACACAGAATTCACACAGTTTCTTCAGGTGAGCTTAGTTTTTCATAACCAGTGTAAATATATAACATTCCATATCCTTCCCTTTTAGTTTTATTAGGTTTATTACAAAAAAAATAGCAATTCTCTGTGGAATTTTAACCTCATTTTTCACTTCCCACTCCCAGAGGCAACTTATTTAGATTCTTAACAGTTATTTCTTTCCTTCGGTGTTTACTTTCATAGCTTTAAATAATAAACATTATTTAAATGTTTTGAAGTGCTGATACTTCAATTTTTAATTTTTCACTCTTAGATATTTTTTAAATTTAATTTGAAACGTTGAAGATTAGCAACTAGCTCTTTCACCTTTCCCTCTCAGACATTTTCTATCTCCACCCTCCATATAATTATGTCATGATTCTGCTTAGATTATCATATTTGAATCACCACAATTTTGTAAACACTGTGCATGACTAAAATAATTACTTTTCTTAGAGACTCTAATTTTTATTGGTTCATTTTCTGTGTGTTAATGCTAATTCATTCTCAGACTCTGCCTCAGTTATTAAACTCTCATTTTTAATATGTTTAAAACAGAGTAAGTGTTTGATCAGTTTTGTTCTCTTGGAGAACAGGAGCTTTGTTTTTTAAAAAAAATTTGAGGTAAAATTCACTTAACATTAAATTAGCCATGTGAAAGTGCATAATTTAGTGGCATTTAGTACATTAAGCAGCTCTAATTCCAAAACCTTTTCATTACCCCAAAAGAAAACCCTATACCAAAGGAGCAGTCACACTCCATTCTTGCCTCTCCTCAGCTAGTGAAGCCACCAGTTTACTTTCTGTCTCTATGGAGTTACTTATTCTGGATATTTCATATAAATGGAATTATACAACGTGAATTCTTGTGTCTGGCTTTATCTTAGCATAGTGTTTTCAAGGATTACCTATGTGTAGCGTATATTAGTACTTCATACTTCATTCTTTTTGTGGCTGAATAATATTCCATTGTATGGGTATATCATATCTTGTTTATCTGTTCATTAGTTGATGGGCACTTACTTGGGTTCTCGCCTTTGGCTGTTATGAATAGTGCTGCTGTGAACGTTGGTATACATGTATTTGTTTGAATACCTGTTTTCGAATCTTTTGAGTGTATCTCTAAGGTGTGGGATTATTGGATCACATGATAATTTTAACTTTTTGAGGAACTACCAGACAGTTTTCCACAGCCCCTGCACCACTTTTCTGGAACTTTCTGATACCTGACTTTGTACTCATTACATAGCTATCAGCTTGTGATCTCCCTTCACCTTCATACTGGGGAGTCCATTTGCCTTTCTGTTATGTTGAACCTTCCATTTGCTGGATTTCATCTCTTCATTTGCTATGATTTTTTTCCCCTCTTTTTGGTAGAATACTTACTGCAAGGGCTTCCTAAGGAAAGTAAAAGAGTTCTTTTGTAAGACTTTTTACATCTGCAAACCTCTGCTCTATCATTACATTTAGTTTGGCCGAGTATAGAATTTTAGTAGGAATTTATTTTCCACCTAATCTGAAAATAAATCCCTCTTTTTTTCCCCTAACATCCAGTGTTGCAACTGAGAAGTTAATTACCATTCTTTTTTGGTTCTCTTTTGACGTTTTTTTTTACCCCACTCTAGAGGGTTTTAAGATTTTTTTATTTTCAGTGGTTTGAAATTTCATGATGCTGTACCTTGATGTGAGTTTATTTTTATTCATTGTGTTGGACATTCAGGGGTTCTTTTAATTTGAAAGCTTGTGTACTTCAATTCTTGGAAATATTCTTCTATTTTTTTTTTTCTTGTCTTGAACTAGTAAATATAATAACTGTATGATCCTTTAGTTCTCTTTTCTCTCCTGAATCTTAAGTTGTTTTTATTATGTTTCTAATTTTCAGGAGTTCTTTTTGGTTTCCTAATATTCCTTTTAAAATACTATACTGTTCTTCTTTCATGAATGTACTATTTTCTCTCACTTCTCCAAAAATGTTATAGACAGGTGTTTTGTTTTTAAATTTTTTTCTTCTTGCAATCTGCCTTTTTCCTTCAAGTTACTTTATTTCTTTTTGTTTGGATCTCCATTTTTCCTGTTAGTAGCTCTTCTTCCAAGTCTAATGATTTGGGGTCCTCTGCTCATATTAAAATTAGGATTGAGGCTTATTGGGAGCTTTGGGTTCATTCATGTACCTTACTGTAAAGTTCTCTGGGTGGGTGGTCTTACTGGGGAACCCTCTAGTTCAGGTCTTTTATTTTGGATAGGGGAAATCAGAATAATCATTTGGCTTCCCATCTGAAGTATTAGACCTGGCTTTTGATATTATGGTTGCTGAGTAAGACAAGAGGGTTACAGGTCTCAGTATTCAGTATGGAGGTGGTATGTGTGCTCAGTCATGTCCGACTTTTTGAAGCCTTGTGGACTGTAGCCTGCCAAACTCCTCTGTTCATGAATTTTCCAGATAAGAATACTGGAGTGGGTTGCCCTTTCCTCCTCCAGTGGAAGTGGACTCTCGTTTATTTTCCTCCTTTCATCTGTGCCTTGTCTCTCTTAGTCCGGAGATCCTCTGTTAAAACTCACCTAGTTGTCTGCTAGGGTTGGGAACGGGCCAGAGGCCCGGCTCTGGTGGAGTATGGCAGGCAACTAACTGCTTTATAAACAAACTTCCATCTAAGCTTCCTGTTCTCATTGCCACCTTCACCATCACTCTAGGGGTACTGGTACCGCCAATTCATGAGTCTTTAGCAGATTCTGTTACGTACATTGGATTGCTTTTTTTGCTTTTCTGGTTTTCTTGGACCTTCTAAGCCAGTTATCATTTGCCTCTTTGCACTCTAATCTTAAAAATGTAGTTGCTGTCTTCTTTTTTGGTTCTCTTTGTCTTTGAGTGTCTGTTTTGTTTCTCATTCTTTACTGTGATTTTTGGTGAGGAATAGAATTTTGAAAGACAGAGCTAAATGTATGAGTTCAGTCTCATTCAAAGCCATGGTATTTCTGAAGCTCTGCTATTTTAACTCAGAGTTAGATGAGAGGCATTTCTAAGAACACAAGATCTTTAACTTTAGTATAACTTCCTTTGTTTACCCTTTTCTCCAGTTCCTTTTCCTGCCCTTTCAATCTGGAAGCAGATTTATTTTCTTTTATTTTTTAGAATATTTTTATCTCTTTAGAATATCTTTATTTCATCTTTTATAAGTCCAGAATATTGTTTTTTTTCATTAGGGTGATCACATTGTCTATTCTACCCAATGTTTTGATTATACCACATAAATGGAGAGCTTATGTGCAGAACTTTCTTCCTTTAGTTGCTTCTTTTTGAAGGCCTTAATTTTAATTTTTTAACTTTTTATTTTGAAAGACGTCTATATTAAAAAAAAAAACCCATGTACCCATCAACCAGCTTCAACAATTGACCAGTTATTTATTTATTTATTTACCTATACTTTCCATTCTGTTCCCTACTCGAGAATTTGGAAGGCAGTTCTATTTAATCTATAGTTGCATATGTGATACTTCAAATACATGTATCTTTAAAAGATACAAAAGAGTCCTTCAACTGTTGACCTGATAGAAAATAGAAAATCTGTTCTTCTGACATTAGTCTTGCAGTGAGGATTCTGGTTTGTCTTTAACATAAAGGTGCACATTTTTTTCAGTACTAAGTGTCATTAATAAGGCTTAATCATGCCCATGGTTGCCACTGGATATTTCTGAGAGGTTAAGATGCATGCATGGAGAAGACAAAGATATAACAAAGGCATAAATCGGGAGGAAAATAAGCAGGAGTGAGGAAGAGAAAACCTATATAAGATGGAGTAGATGTGTGTCTGCTTCTGATGCTGCTCAGGAATATCCTTTCCTTGGGGAATGCTCTCAACCATATTTTAAGGCTGAAATAGAGATTTTAAATGCCTGCTTCATTTGAAGGATGATGTGGTTGGAACTGAGGTGATAAAAATATGAAGTGGGTTAGGGAGAAGGACTAAAGTAGAAGAGGAAAAAATGTACAAATTGGAGATTGAACAACGTGCTCCTAAATAATGGTTCATAGACAGAATCAAAAGGAAAGTAAAAAAATATCTTGAGACAAATGAAAATGGAAGCACAGCATACCAAAGCATTCATACTTTGGTGCTTAGCAAAAGCAGTTCTAAGAGGGAAGGTTATAGTGATAAACACCTACATTATATAAAAAATAAAAATCTCAGTCTACCTTTGTACTTCAAGGAACTGGAAAGAGAATAAGCTCAAAGTCAGAAGGAGTTAACAAAGATCAAAGCAGAAATAAATGAAATAGAGACTAGAAAGAAAATAGGAAAGATCAATGAAACCAAGAATGGGTTTTTTAAAAAAGTAAAATTGACAAATATTTAGCTACACTAAGGAAAAAAGAAGACTCAAATAAAATCAGAAAGAGGAGACTGATCACAACTGATAAAGATCATAAGAAACTACTATAAACAGTTACACACCAACAAATGAGATAACCTAGGAGAAATGGATAAATTCCTAGAAACATAGAACCTACCTCCATTTCATGAAGAAATAGAAAATCTAAACAGACCAGTTACTAGCACGGAGATTGAATTAGTAAATAAAAACCTCTCAGTAGAGAAAAGTCAAGGACCAGATGGCTTCACTGTTGTTGTTGTCCAGTTGTCAGTTGTGTTCGACTCTTGGTGAGCCCATGGACTGCAGCACACCAGGCTTCTCTGTCCTCCACCATCTCCTGGAGTTTGTGTAAATTCATGTCCATTGAGTTGATGATGCCATCCAACCATCTCATCCTCTGTTGCCACCTTCTCCTCCTGCCCTCAATCTTTCCCAGAATCATAGTCTTTTCCAGTGAATTGGCCCTTCACATCAGGTGGCCAAAATATTGGAGTTTCAGCTTTAGCATCAGTCCTTCCAGTGAATGTTCAGGGTTGATTTCCTGTAGGGTTGACTGATTTGATCTCCTTGCTGTCCAAAGGACCCTCAAGAGTCTCCTCTAGCATCACTAGAGGAAATAATTAATTCTTTGGTGCTTAG